TGGTGTGGAACTGTAGAGGTCTGGGAGGACCCTCTACAATTCCCCAGCTCAAGGAGGCTTTAAAACTCCANCTCCCCTGGTTTTCTTTTGTGAGTGAGACAAGGCAAACCAGTAAGTTTGTTCACACAGTTTGCCGAAAGTTGGGTTATGAGGATCGGAATTTGGCAGTGGATCCGGTGGAAAAGAGTGGTGGACTTCTGCTATTGTGGAGCAGAGATATTACCATCATCCAGAGTGTGACTCAGAAGTTCTGCATTGAAGTCGAATACAAGCATAGCAGCCAGCAAAGCAGTGAATGGGTAGTCTTTGTATACCTCAGTACTGACTTTAAAGAAAGGGAGAAGCAATGGTTATATCTGGAGCAAGAAAAGGATCTCTGGGGTGACAATTGGCTAATTGGAGGAGATTGGAACGATATATGCCATCATCATGAGAAGCAAGGAGGAAGGAGAAGACCTGATAGCTCTTTCTGGAGTTTTCAGAATTTCATAGCTAACATGGGTATGCAGGAGATTGGATTGATGGGACATCAATTCACCTGGTGGAATTGCAGAACTGGTGATGAGTATGTGGAAGAAAAATTGGATAAATTCTTTGCATCATTTAGCTGGACAAATGCTCACCCCAGCTCTTCAGCCTCTAATGTCTACATGAGCTCCTCAGACCACAGTCTGATTATTCTATCCTCAGGAGACTGTGCAGCCAGCAGGAAAAGGAGGTTTGTTTTTGATAAAAGATGGTTGCTCAGAGATGGAGTGAGTGATGTCATCAAGGAAGCCTGGAGCTGCTTTCAGAATGGTCACCCAATGACCCAATTCCAGGCCAAGATAGCTGCAACAAGAGTAGCCCTTCTTAAGTGGAGTGCCAAGTTTAAATCTGAAAATGAAAAGGATCTTAAGGAAGCTGCAAACAAAATGGAAGAATTGAGAAGTTTGGGGAATGATAGAGATTGGAACCAGTGGAACTCTCTCAAGGCAGGCATTGACAAACTCAACAAACATGAGGAAGCCTACTGGAGCCAGAAATCAAGACTGCAATGGCTCAAAGAAGGGGACAAAAACACCCACTTTTTCGATGCTTACACATCCCAGAGAAGGAAAGCCAATGCAATCACAAGATTGATTAATGGGAGTAATATGGTATGTAGCTCTCAAGAAGACATGGAAAAGTGCATCACTGACTTCTACAAGCAGCTTTTTACCTCCAACTAGCCTGACATTGATGATCAGCTTCTCCAATGCATTAAGCCAGTCATCACTCCTGCAATGAACAACATGTTGGTGTTATATACTTAAGCTTTGCTTTATTGGATATTACACTTGTTATTCCT